CCTCCCTATTCTTTTGTGCTTGATTTTGTTCAAAAGCACTTATTACCATCTAACATACATGCATTTTATTTATTTGACTTTTGGGTCTGTTTCTTCCTACGTTAGGATGTAAACTTAGTAGAAAGACATCTATTTTACTTTACTCATAGCTATTTTCCCAATGACTAGAACAGAATTTGGCACTTAGTAGAAACTTGATAATTTCTTTTTTATTAATTAACAAACAAATGGATGAATCTTCAAGCCATTTTGTTCTGCTGTCTGGACTTCCAGTTTTTAGCTTGTAATTTACATGGAAAATCTCATGGCACACCCAAAGGAAGGAGAGATGATGTAGTTTGGGCAGTGAATATTCATTTAATTATTTGCCTTACTTTCCAGAAAAGGCAAATAATTAAATGACATCACCCACAAAATCACAGAGCACTTCTGTTGGTATGGTATTCTATAGTGGCAAAACTAAAACATATCTGACAATCCATGATATTTTGATGACTATAATGACAAGGTCTTGGAGTGTAAGCTACTCAGAACTCATCACTTAACCACAATGTTGAGCTTCAGGCAAGTAGAGTTGAAAATTAATACATTTTCTTTGCTGGTTGAAAAATGAAAATAAAATGTAAAAAAGACAGAAGGCTTAAATATTAAACCTGATCTTTGTGAAGGAAATTAATTCACAAAATGATATTTTTTTTTTCTGAAAGTCTTACCTTGCCTCTTTACTCTGGCCTATATGATTCAAAATTTTTGAGGCTATTGTTAAGAATTCAGCTCATTTTCATCTCTCCTATTTTTTCTTTTTGTTCAGATAAGGTCAACTAAATTAAAAAACAAAAATTTCAGGTATATGTGTTTACCTGATAGTTTCTCTGATAGGAATAGACTTAATAACTATAACACTTCAATCTAAACATAATCAACATGAAGGGCATAGGGCAGATAAAAACCTATTACTATTATCCCAGAGATGTCTTGCATGAAATGTTTTATTGGGGACAAAGAAATCAAATGTAGTTCATGACTGAGTAGTACACTTTGTAGTTTACTACTACAAGAATTAGTATTCAATAAAATATTAACAATTTTAAAAAATGCATTCCTAGATCAAAATAGATTTTTAGAAATTTATGGAAGGTGAATTGTTTGGTTACACTTTTTGTCCTTTTGATGTGTGTCAAGTAGGGTTTGGTCAAGAAAACAGAATCGATTTTAGCAATTTTAATCAGAAATAGTTTTAATTTAGGGAATTCCTGAACCTTGAAAGACAAGAAAATTGGAGAAGTTACTAACATTAAGGAAAAAGGGAATGCATGAGTTGCAAGTAATCTCTATTAGTTATCTCAGCTATCTACAGCACCAGCATGGGTGATTTGCAAGACAACCTCCAGAAGTCACTGACAAAAACCTCAGCTCTGCAATGTATGGAAGATACTGTGCTTGCTTGATGCCCCTAGAGCAATAACAGTGCTTTCCCTTCCACCTTCCAAATCCACACTGTCTCTCACTAGAGGACCCTAAACCAGAGCACTGCTTACCAGTGGTCTAGGAGGTCTGGCACTTATCCTTCTAGGCCCTTGCTTCTGGGGAGACAATAAAAGGCAGCATGCTGAAATAGCAACAGATAGTCCTGCCCAAATGGAAACCAATAGGAAGGGAGATGCTTTCTCTCTGTTTGCTGCAAACAAATTGGATCCATTGAGATTGCGCCAGATGGGATCCTGGCGTAACCTAGAATTTGAATCTTCTGTTCTTATGAAAGAACTGGGTATTCCTGGAACCATCATCAAATTTAACAATTTTTTCTTTATGGCATTTTTGTTCTCTGAGTAAGATGATTTCAACATCTTTTTTTTTTTTTTACTAAAACAAATCTATTTTTTAAAATAGTTTAATTTTGCTGATGGGTCTTTCTGTACATGTACACATCTCATCTAGCAACCCTACTAAGATTGGGAGCAGTAAGGAAGTTTTTGAAATGAGGAGAAAACTAGTTCATGTACACAAGGCATACCGAAATGTTACCAGGCTGGAACAAAATTCATCTTAGTAAAATTGACATTATAATATAGACTAGTAGTTTCCTCTCCTGCAACTCTAAAATCTTCCTAGCCTGTGACTCAGTTTCCTACACTAAGAGGCTGTTGCCACAGTAGTCATGGTAGTCAGGGGAAGGAAATGCTTGCTCACCTTCGCTGGGTTTAGAAAACCACTCCACATCAAAGAGATGACTCATCCTGCCCACTTGAAGCCCGGAGCTTTCCTCCTACCTCCCACCACCCTCTGTGGGCTGTACTGCTCTTGGCTGGAGAGGCCTTTCACCAGCAAGTCCAGGTTTGTGGCGTCTGGCATGCTTACCTGCCTGAATGACGAGGCTTCCTGAGGTGGGTTGAATTGCAGGTTGGGACCTGATGGTGACCACCAATTTGCCTGACCTGTGGTTCCAGCTGTATGGTTCAAAGTCAAGAAGTTGGGCTTTCTCCTTCTCTCCTCAAAACACATAAAAGGAAATGGAATAATTTTATTTCCATATTCCTGTTAACAGTAAACATAAACAGGCAATGAGCAAACCTGAAAGGTCATGACTATCTATTTTCATTATTTTTTTGAAAAACATTTTGTTTTTGGAAATTCCAGAGGCCATTAGGTTTATTTCAATGAGTTCAACAGTGTTAACATATGGTGGGGCAGATGGTGGTTGCTCAGAAAATATTTATTCCTGAAGGATATGCCTCTCTCTAGATGGAAAGCATCATAAGGTAAATAACTTCACTTTAAAAATTCTTAGAGAAGATTCCATATTCTTGAACAAAGTCTGCTTCAAAACTCAATATTTAGCAGAAAGTGGATGTGGAAAAATAAAGGGCTTTGGAATCAGTAGAGATGGGTTTGAGATTAAGTAATCAGAATAACTCTCTTAAATTCTTATCAAATCAATGTAATGTGGTATTAAAGGAGTTGGAGTCAGATTGCCCTATTCTAGAATCTCTGAGAATTACCTACTAGCCACATGACTATTGGATTGTGACTTCTCTAGCTTTCTATTTGCTTATGTAATATATAGAGTAACAAAAATTTCCTCTTAAGCTTACCGTGAGGACTAAATAAAATAATGCAAATAATGTTCTAAATTCAGAGCCTGAGACATAATTAGCATTCAGTAAATTTTGGTGATGCTCTGACCCTGTTTCCTAACTTGGGAAGAGGGAAGACTAAAGCTGTAAAGGGGCGCTACAGATCAGATGAAGTAATATCAGCAAGGTGTTTCCCAAGTGTGATTTATCAGCATTATCTAACTCCCTCTTGGAGATGAGCCCATTCCTTTTCTCTAGCATTTGGACATGGACTTGCTGCTGCTCTTTTGGCATCGTCCTTGGCAATTTGCACACAGGTTTAAGAGACTAGCATTCAGAATGCATGTGAAACATGATGAGTTTGACAATCTGCGTGTGTTTCAGCAACAAGGTGCTCAGATGTTTTGTCCCTGCATATTCATACTGCCAGCTTTCCTGATGGCTTGGATATTTAGGGGAACTGAGGTCTTATCCTGGTATATGGCTCAATCCATTTTGAGATGATCCCAAGACTGATCTTGGTTAAAACCAGTCCTTCTGTAATTGTGTTGATATTAGAGTGACCTGCCCATGTTAGAGCAAAGTACCTCTTATACCACCTTTCCTTTTGGGAAGCCGGCTTGCCCATTTTTTTTTTTTTGGCCTGACTTGATAAATAATAATGCTTCTGGGGAATCTGGAGAAGAATTGGTGTGAATGGGTTTATATATTACTCATATTACCTCATGATTACTCAGAGTTACTTGGAAAATCTCCAGCCATTTCTTCTTGATCCCAGCTACCTAAGGGATTTGAACTGACATCTGCTTTCAAAGTCCATTTGAAAAGGGCGTGTCTGAGTATTAGGTTTCATTCAACAAATATCGAGTGGGACCCCTTAGTAAAAGTATGGTGTGAAATTAGAGTCCTTCTACTTTCAGGAAAAGATCCATTTAGGTTCAAATCTAAATTCTGTCACGTGCGATCTTGAGGCTGTTAACCTCTGAGTATCCCTTATTCATCTATGAAATAAAATAATAATTCTTAACAATGTTGAGAGAAGATAGATGTTTGTTATTATAAACTGAGTAGTAATAAGTGGCATTTGTTCTGAATATTTTGAACGTTTTAGCAAAAGCAAATGGTCAGGGAAATTCTCCAGTTCTTTCTTAGGTATCCCTATCCCAAATGGTTGTACTAAATAGAGAAAACAAGAAGAAATATGTTTTATGAATAACAAATTTAGAGTTATTGGTGGTTATTTAGAAAAAAGACACTTGGAATCCAAGAGACAACAGAATTTATAACAATTTATAACATCACTTTAATAACAAATTTATAAAGTGATCTCTCTTTGTTAGACTATAAGATAAGAAGACCAGATAGGAATTAGTTTAAGGCATAGCTGAGGTTCATTTTTTACATACTTTTTGGATTGATATTTATATAAATTTTATTCAGGGACATTTATTTATATATATCTCTGTGTACTTGTTGTTCATGTGCTTGTGTGTGTGCTTATGTGCAGATGCACAATAAATATTTTTATTTGATGGAACAAGTTTTGTTTCACTCATTTTAAAGGAAGGATTAGGATACAGGAAAGAAGAAGAATGAAAATTAGATCTTATTTTTGATACCTTACTAAAAAATTTTCAGAAAATTGAATATAACCAAAGAAAAAAATGAAGCTAAAATATCTTAATATCACTGAGAGGATACATTTACACATGATACCAGAGATACACAAGGTTCAGAAAACTGTTCACATTAATATTTATTAATTTAATCTATTCTTTAACTCTGAGTAATGAATAACCTTTTTAAAAGTTGAGCTTCTTTATTAATCTGAAAAGCCCCAAACTTCAACAATGAAGTGTTATTCTCAGTAAGCTCTTATAGGGTAAGTCCAGCATTCAGAGTGGCTATGTCAATAGGCCATGTGAGAAGGAGATCAATATATTAACTGGATAATTTGATCAGTAAAGATGGAGAATATAGGTATGTGATTCAGTCCTCCAAGTTTGTGGTAAGTTTTATTTGCCTGCCTTTCCTGAGTAATTACATGAAATTTCCACATCACTTGGCTATGTAGACATGGTGAAGGTTTTTTAGTTCATGCTGAGAAGGTTAAGAAAGCCTGACTTGCATAATTGGTATTCTGCCTCATATCCATGAGTGCTAAGCTGGATAATTTGCCTGAACTTGCCTTTTGGAGTTTCTTATGGGGTTGATATTTTCCATCCATGACCATGGCATTTTATGAACCTACACAGAAATATAAATCCTCTGAATGTCCCTTCTTCCCATCACTCCTTCTTCATCCTTTCCTCCTTCTCTTTTTTCTTTCTTTCTACTGATTTACATGAAATCATGTAAAACTGGACCTTGATGGAACAATAGCAATCATAACTACTTTAGCATTTCTCAAATTTCACACTCATTCATTTTGGAGGGGAACTGGGGGGTGCCAGGGTCACTTAAATCACCGAGCCATACCTCTAGCTCCCTTTATTTTATTTAGAGATAAAAGTTGCTTAGGACCTCAGTAAGTTGCTGACACTGGCCTTTAACTTGCAATTCTCCTACCTTGGCCTCCTGGGCTGCTGGGATTGCAGGCATGCACCACCATGCCTGGTCATAGATTTTTTTAAAAAATTAATTAATTAATTTTAATTGGGTATATATGACAGCAGAATGTGTTTTGATTTATTGTGTACAATTGCAGCACAACTTTTCATTTCTCTGGTTGTATACCCCATATGTGCAGTGATACATGTACCTAGGGTAATGATGTTCATCTCATTCCATCATATTTTCTGCCCCCATTCTCCCTCCCACTCCTCCCTCTCCTTTGCCCAGTCAAAGTTCCTCCATTTTTTCTCATGCACCCCCTGCCCCTGCCACTGTTATGGATCGGCATCCACTTATCAGAGAAATCATTTGTTTTTTGGGGATTGGCTTACTTCACTTAGCATGATATTCTCCAGCTCCATCCATTTTACCTGCAAATACCATAATTTTATTCTCTTTCAAGGCTGAGTAATATTCCACTGTGTGTATAGACCACAGTTTCCTTATGTATTCATCTATTGAAGGGCATCTAGGTTAGCTATTGTGAATTGTGCTGCTATAAACATTGATGTGGCTGTGTCCCTGTAGTATGCTGTTTTTAAGACATTTGGGTATAGACCAAAAAGTGGGATAGCTGGGTCAAATGGTGGTTTTATTCCCAGTTTTCCAAGGATTCTCCATACTGCTTTCCATATTGGCTGCACCAATTTGCAGTCCCACCAGCAATTTATAAGAGTGCATTTTCCCCCACATCCTTGCCAATACTTAATGTTGTTTGTATTCTTAATAGCTACCATTCTGACTGGAGTGAGATGAAATCTTAAAGTAGTTTTGATCTGTATTTCTCTAATTACTAGAGATGTTGAACACTTTTCATATATATGTTGATCGATTGTATATCTTCTTCTGAGAAGTGTCTGTTCAGCTCCTTAGCCCATTTATTGAATGGGTTGTTTTTTTTTGGTGTGTGTGTGTTAAGTTTTTTGAGTTCTTTATATATCCTGGAGATTAGTGCTCTATCTGATGTGCATGTGGCAAAAATTTGCTCCCAAAATGTAGGCTGTCTGTTCACTTCATTGATTGTTTCTTTTGCTGAGAAGAAGCCTTTTAGTTTGAGTCCATCCCATTTATTTTTGATGTTATTTCTTGCACTTTAGGAGTATTGTTAAGGAAGTCAGGGCCTAATCTGACATGATGAGGATTTGGGCCTACTTTTTTCTTCTATTAGGTGCAGAGTCTCTGGACTAATTCCTAGGTCCTTGGTCCATTTGGCGTTGAGTTTTGTGTGTGGTGAGAGATAGTGGTTTATTTTCATTTTGGTGCATATGCATTTCCAGGCAGTCATAAATTTTTTAACATAAAAATTGTTTGATTTTTTTTTTCTTATAAATTCTCTTTAAAAACAAAAACTAAAATATCAACTTTAGATACTTTCTAAAAAACTATATTCAAGGATTGTGGATTTAGTTATTTTGACTATTTTTTCCTGATAAACAATAACAGAAATAGATAACAAGTTTATATATGTACCACCTCAAATCATGTAATTTAGCTTTGAGAAATACTGTTCTCATCTAGCCTTCAAATAAATTGGCTTAGAGAAATGTAGTGATGTTTTCCAGAGGTACACCGCCAGTTAGAAATAGAGTTAACAGATAAAACCATGCTTCAATTATTAAAATTAGTAGATTGTCTTACTAACTACACTGATTTATGTTATGTACCTATTTGGTAAGGCTGTAGGAAATAGCAATTAAAATAGTGAAGTAAAACCATCAAAAGCAAAGCAGAGAAAACAGTCCATCTTCCTATTTACCTGTATTTCAGCAATTCCTAGGTCACAGAGGGACCACAGATGTTTTATGACAGTGGTCCTCAACTAAATGATTTCTATGGGGTTTACAAATACTTTCCCAGTGCATGGATAGTGTTGGAATATTTTTAGAGTCATACCTTTCCTATGAATTCTTCCCTAGAAAAAGGATTTGTGGTTCTTAGGAAAGCAGTATAAAGATTCCTCAAAAAACTAGGGATGAAACCACCATATGACCCAACTATCCCTATTTGGTATTTTCCCAAAGATCTAAACTTGGAATACTATAGTGATATGTATCATGGAGATTAGTTTTATATATTTATATATATAAATATATTAACATATATTATATATGTATATATTTATATATATAAATATATTAACATATATTATATATGTATATATTTATATATGCCCTCTGCACAATTGTGCTTTTGCCTCCTTACAAAAGAAAGTATTGCTTTTCACCCACTTTATTAGGGCAATCTTATTAGAATGCGATGCGTAAAGTCAGCAATGACACCAGACACAGGGGTAAACGGTAATTCTGTGGGTCCTATTGTAGGTGTGGAAGGGGAATGAATTTCATATTTCAAATTTGTGAAACAAATCAAAAGTCTCTAACTCTTTTCTTTCAATAAAAATGAAGGAGTGCTAAATGAATTTTCAGTTGATAGATCTTTAAAACATCTTTTTGCATGATATATCAATACATATTTTTTGGCACAACAAACATTGTATAAAAAATTGTATGAAAGTTATAACTCCAATAAAAGACTATTCTCATCTACAAATAAGACTTCTTTTTAACATTTATCTAAATTAAAGCTACAAAATAGAATTAATACTAAACTTTAACTCATTCTAGCAGAAGTAACACTCATGCGAACACTATGGGGAAGAAATCCAAGCCACATTCATCTCATTGAGATACTTATCATTATTACAGTAGATGGGGTAGAGAGAGAAGATGAGAGGGGAGGGGAGGGGGGATAGTAGAGGATAGGAAAGGCAGCAGAATACAACAGACACTAGTATGGCAATATGTAAAACAGTGGATGTGTAACCGATGTGATGCTGCAATCTGTATATGGGGTAAAAATGGGAGTTCATAACCCACTTGAATCAAAGTGTGAAATATGATTTGTCAAGAACTATGTAATGTTTTGAACAACCAACAATAAAAATTAAAAAAAGAGATATTTATCATTATTTTTAATTGAATATATATTTATTTATATTTTAATATCAACATAATTATATTAAATAAATCAAAATATAATCATTTTGCTGAGCTATTTGTTACTAATAATTGTTATATTACTTGAGAGAAATATTTTTTTAACATTCAGAACTTATTAGAAAATTTAAAAATTTAATTTATATTTTTGCTGCAAAGAAGTATAATAGAATCATTAATAGAAGACATTCAAGAATAAAATAAAATAATATATTATATGATAAAAGTACATGAAATTAATATAAAATCTGATGAGAAAGGGAAATAGAAAAATTATCTTGATATATAAAAAGAAAGTATAAAAATTCAAATTTTTAAGAGCAATTTACAAATTGTTATTTTTCTTTTTTTTAATTCTTTCTTTCTTTTTTCCTGAACCCCCTGGCATTCTACCACTTAGCTGCATCACCAGTCCTTTTTATTTTATTTTATTTTTAAATTTTGAGATGATCCCAATAAGCTACAGGCTGTCTACAGACTTGGAATCCTCCTGCTCCAGTCTCCAGAGTTGCTGAGATTACTGCTATGGATCACTGCATCCAGCAGATTTTCTATATTTTTAGATTGTGGATGACAAGGAATTAAATCATTTTGATGCCTGAATTTCATAGGTGCATTTAAAACTTAAAGGACAATTTTATTTTAAAAGATTAACACTAAAGTAAGTTTAATTCTCACCACAAAAGTAACAACTATATGAGTTAATGTATTTGTCAGTTAGAATTAACCATTCCACAATGTGTGTATACTTCAAAACATCATATTGTTCATGCACACACACACACACACACACACACACACACACAAATGCAGTATTCTCTGTCAATTTAAAAATGTAAAGATAAATAAATAAAATAAGCTGGAAATTACATAATTTGTGTTACATTTTCAAAATAAAAGTTAGATGTCACCTTAAATGAGGGCTTACAGGATTTTTCCAGTTTCTTTAGAGAGTGGTTGAAGACCACTGTTCTCAGGGATGAATCAGATTCTCTGCTGCAGAAGATTCCATGGAGAAACCTTGACATGCTTTGTGTTTTCCAGGAATCAGTTCAGTAGTTGTCCGAGGAGCACACTCCCATCTGCATGCTGCCAGGACCCTGGGACAGACTCTTGAATATTCAGGACCCAGATGAGCCTGGATGCTCAGTAGTCTTCCGCTTACAAATTCTCCACCTTCCCTTAGCACTGCAGAATGTAACTTCTGTTATTTACCAGATTAAATAAGTTGGTTCTTCTCTAATTTTTCATAAAAGTTAGAAAAATCTAAGGTTATTAACCAGATTAGAAATCATTTGAAAAAGAAAAATAGCAGCATGCATTTAAAAGGTTAAATGAAGCAAAAAGTGCACTTTTTAAAGTGTGTAATTGTGCTGTTGTTATTAAAATTTTGAAGTTTAATTATTGTTATTAAAATTATTGAAGTTTATGGTGAAATTGTCTTTAAAGAGGGTTGATTTAGAAAATCATACTTCATTGTATATACATATGTATATGTGTGTGTGTGTGTGTGTGTGTGTGTGTGTGTGTATCAATCAATCAGTTCTCTTCCAGAGAAATACAGTTCATTTCTGACATATTTCAGTAACATAGGTTTTATATTACCAAAAACTTACAATTAGAGGATATACATAAAGTTTCCTTATATTTTCTTTTTCAATTTTTGTGCTTTTTTGGGCAAGAAATTTAAAAAAAGGGGAAAAGCAAAAATTTCAATGCACTTAAAATGATTGGATTAAAGATACTTACGATCATGAAATCAATAAAAAAATGACCTTGAGCAGATGAAAAATATCTTGATTGAGACAATAAAAACATTCTTAGAATAGAGGCATATTGTAGCTTCAATCTTAGACCATTATAAACATAAACTTCATTCAGTTTTATTAAGTCTTGATTATATTCAGAAGTGGCTGACCTCTTGTTTCCCAGTAGCCTTTATTTTCATTCTGGGAAAAATGAAACAAAAAATCTGAAGTTTAATGCTTCATGTAGATATTTACACACAGAACTCTTCTACAGAGCCTAGAATCTGCAGATAAATTCAGGATAGATATTAGTACACTCCTGTGTAACGTCATCTTATCCTTCATTACCACAATTTTGCTTTATGCCACTCATATTTAACTCCTGGAAAGTTTAAAAGAAGCCATGGAAACCATTATCATCAGAGGGAAAATAGTAGAGAAAAATACTTCCATTTAAGAAAATTTGCTTCTGTGCTAGGCTTGTAAGGGATTTATTATAAATACCATATTGCTCAGAAAATCAGAAACCTGAGAAATTCTTCCAAGCAATCAGGAAAACACATGATTTGCAACTATGAATTGCTTTTGCAAACTGGAACAAGTCTTTAAACACCACCAATAAAAAAATTGCTTGGCAATCCCATGGTTTGATTTATATTACTTTCCTCGATACTTAAAAAAAAAAATCTCAAAACTGAATCCAACTTTTTACTGGTGTCACAAAGAGGAAAAACTCCACAATTTTTTCTGACACATTTTGGTAAAATAAAAAAAAAAAATCAGAGGATTCATTCAAAGAATATAATTAGGATGACTTGATAGAAAAAGATGGACTAGCAGGATGACAAATTTTGGATTTAATCTTAGTGTGGGCGAAGCATGGTATTCAGGTCATTTATTTAAGAGAAAGGAAGAGATAAGTTATACCTTGCCTTTTTGATAAAAATCATGCAGCGATTCATGTTTCATTCAGTGTTTAATTTAGTATATTTATCTATGGTATTTACAGTAACTTTGTTCCAAGTTGATTAAGGTTTACTCACAACTGACTAAGCAAGTAGAAATGAAGGGCAGAGTAAGTCATAATTATTAGTCATTTATACATATACTTAATATATTCCGGGATTTAGATTGATATGCACCCTTTAAGACTAATTTAACTTACCTTTTCCATGGAAGATAAATTAACTTGAATAAAGTAAAGAAGCAGAAAGTGCAGAAAATATTCATTTAGTAGCCTCTCAGCTGCTCTTCAGTGATCTGCTAAGATTTCACATAGGTCAAGAAAGCTTATTTTCCAAATATGTTAGAGAATTGGCTTCTGTACATATACTTCCAAGGACCTAAATCAACCCAGAGCTTTGCTCTGAAATTTTGGTCTAAGATAAAATCTCTTATTCCAGGTGAGTATGGAAGGAAGAAAGCGCTTCATGTAACTGTTCCTCTCCTTCCATATCCAATAGAGCAAAAGCACTTGGTTCCCTGTACAGCCCTGGGGAGTCCACTCACTTTCTTCCAGTTAAGCAAGTCTGGTCTTCAGCCTGTGGCTTGGCAGGCTGTAGGAGAGGAGAATTTTAACAAATTAATGCTTTTACTTGCAATGGAATACCACCTTTGAATTTGAATAGACATTAGTTAAATCATTTGGATGTTTTTAAGATGTAAGTAAAATATCTACTTAAGTATCTGTTTAAATATTATCAGTGACAACTTAATGCTCTGTAGCCTACTTACAGCAAGGAAAGAGGAAAATATTTCCTCTTTACATTTTGATGTTTCATTTTCAATTTCAATTTTTAATAAAACAGCAGAATGTATGGTAATTTTGTTTTGTATTGTTTCAAACATAACAAAATTATGCTCTTTAATGTTACTTATCTCCATGATACAGTAGTAACTAAAGAGTGATGCTGAGTTATATTTTGAGGTTACAAGGAGATGATGTATGGGAATACTTTACAGCTGAGGGCCGAGCACCATGAGAATTTCCTGTCAAATCTCTTGATTAGTTCAAACTTCTAATAGATATGTACTCACAAGCAATGGAAAAAGAAAAAATGCTCCCTTTTGTAAAACAACAACAATATCAACAATACCTCATTGTAAGAGCTTAATTGGTTTCAGTACAAGTAATTTCACTTACAAAGACAAGACTCAACTAGTAATGAAGGAGGAGTATCCAAATACTTTGAAAACTCAGAAGTGGGCAAACAGTTCCTCCCTCCCTCCTCCTCTCCCTCCCTCCTCCTCTCCCTCCCTCCCTTGGTTGCGGTCTTTCTTCCTTCCTTTTCATTTCCCTCTTTCTTCAAATATAAAGCCTACATTCCCTCTTTCTGTGATCCCATTTGTTGACAATATATATAATAATTTTCACACAATTTCTCATATATTAGAAATCTGAATGATAATAAGTACCATTAAGATATTTGTAAGTGTCCATATAGGGATTTTTTAAAAAAAGATGTTTGCCTCTCAATTGAATTAATTTTGTTGATCATTTTGTTTAGAATCACATTTCTGTGTGGAAGTTTTCCTGGACCGTCACTCGTGGTCACCCCTCACTGGAGATGAGTGCTCGACCTGGTTCATTCCTCCTGCCTCTGGTTCCATCTTCTTACCCTGTGACTGAGTGGGAAATATTTTGACAAGATTAAAGCTTTCAATCAAAGTACAAAGCAGCAGAGTGAGACAAGAAAATCACTTCTTGACGACTAGGCTTCGTTATATGTCAGTTAAAAGAAATGTGTCAGATTTGAAACCTGACTCGTAAGATTGTATCTCCTAATTTCAGTAACTGACATGATTTTTATCACACTGTATAATTTTAATCTTATTTCTAAGGACTCTTTTTTATTATGAAGGTGTGGGGAAAATGAATACTCAGCATTCATCTTATTTGGATAATACACATACTTTTTGGTTCCAAATCTGAAGTACCATCCTCCTATAACTTTGGATTGGACATTTGTATAATCTCAGAAGATGACATTGAATTAGAAGGAAAACAGTGTCACAGGGTAAGGCACATAGGATATTTCTATTCCTCTGTCTCCCCAGGCCTTCATTTTCCTACATATGTAAAATTAGACTGCTGGTGACCAAAAGGACATCAGAAAGCATTACGTAGCACTCCTTTCTTTTACACATGAGCAAACTGAAACTCCATGAGGCTGTATGGTTTTGCACGAGGGCACAAGTTTTAGAGTCAAACAGGATCAAGTATGAATTCTACTGTAGGAACTATGTAAATATGGACAAATTACTAAAACTTACTGTGCCTAGATGTTCTTTGTGGGTGGAGATAATAATATTTACTGGTGAGGAATGCTGTGGAGGAGTTAATTAAAATATGTTTGAATGGCTGGCAAAAGATATATGGTACTTTGTCTCTTGCCTTTGTAAGACAACTAAGTAAATTAGAGGCAGAAACCTGCTTTAGATGTCTATTTTGTGTTATTTCAATCACAATTTGCTAGCGAATCCCTAAGGAGGCTTCAGCTTCTGGAATTCATGACTTCTGTCAACAAATGAGGCACCTTGATCCAGGGCTGTAGCCTCTGTGGTTTGTCCAAGTGGAGGCAGGAGAAACATACATCATTTCTCAGTTCCTGGTTACCAGAGGTTCAAACTGAGGGTGGGCCTGATTGGATCATCAATGACAGTTGATTTATCACTAAGTGCTGTGTTCTGTAGTTAACATCCAAGTTTTCATTATGGATTCTGTTATCCCAGAAGTCTTTAGATTATACCCCATTAAGGACATGCCTGTAGACAATTTCTAAAACATCACTTTTCTATACCCAGTGAACTTCCATTTCCATTATTCACCAAATAGTTTAGAAGCCATATTTACTTTTAAAAAAATCATGATTCAGTTGTAGATAATCTATCCACTGTTCTCACAGCTCTTTTTGTAGGCTTTTTCAAACCCAGTTATTCTGCAATAAAAATCTCTTGATCCTTGAATTTTTTCTTGGTTCTTTTCTAGTGTATCAGCATCTGGAAATGCCCTATATTTTGTTGCTTTAGTCCAGAGGTGGGAAAATTATGACCCTGTGGGCTGACTCCAGCCTCGTTATGCATATGACCCAAAATCTTAGAATGGCTTTTTATTGTTAAATGGTTGAAAAAAAATGTAAGAGGAAAACAATATTTCATGACATAAAAATTGTGTGAAATTTAAATTTTCTTGTCTATAAATAAAGTCTTATTGGACCACAGCCATGCATGTCCTATTACAACATATCACTATATTGCTTTTGTACAACTGCAAAAGAACACTCCCTTCATTCTCAGGTCTCATAATAGGGGTTGTATTTCTAAGCTCACTGCTGCCTGGAGACCATTTTTCCACCATCCTTTCTCCATTCAATTGTCAATTTTCTCCTCTAAAGTATAATTCAATGTAAAATTTTAGATTTTGAAGAAAACTGGAAGGTACTGAGTCCAACACTCTTGCCTCAAGACTAACATGACCTTGTTGTTGTTGCTTATGCTATTTTCTATCCAAACTCATTGTCACAGTTGTTTTCTGGCCTTTTTGTGTGCGGCCGTTTTCCTTATCATAGTGTATGTATTCAGAAGTAGAATGTTGAATTATTTATATTCTTCTGTTGTGGTTCATTTTCTTTATTTTTCGATGCCAAGTATACCTCTAATTTTTTCTTATCTTATATTCAATTATTTGAAACCAAACCTTGGGTGCTCACAAGTCTGCACTCTTTGACATCAGCTTACTACTGCTCAGAAGGCATATGGTTAAGTGATAATTTTCTAGATCTTTCTTTCTCCATAAGAACTCACGGTCCTAGCAGATTCTTCACTCCAACACTGCCGAGAAACCTCAGCCCTTTAAAAGTTCCTTTAACACATCTTTTTTCCACCTGAAATGTCTTTGGATCTGTGTTGCTTTTGTCTCTTACCAGCCTTCCCCTTCCCCTTCAATTCTGATAAAGAAGAGATGACTTCCTCTCCCTGCATTTCCTCCAAGTTCACATATCCCACTTTACGAACTTGGTTTTCTCTAATATTCTCTAACATTTAAGTCTTCAAATTCTACTTTTCATGACTCTTTTCCTTTGCACCCAGTCTATAATACTTTTCCTCAAGTCTGTTTTCTTACAAACATGACCATTTCATCTTTTCCTGCCTACTGTTTAGACAAGTCGCCTGCCATTGTTCATGACCAGACCACTTTCAACGGCTACACATGACTTCAGCTCTAACTGACTTAGGAAACTGCTCTGTTTAAGGATAGTAGTGACCTGTGGTCCAAAATTCCAGAGGTCTATTCCAAGTACTTACTCCTTTCAACCTGTCTGTAGTATTGAGCATCACCGACTAACAACTCCTTAAAACCCTCTGCTGCCTTATTAACAATAACTGATTCTCCTTCTCCCATTGATGACTTCTTCTCAGTTTTCACATCTATTCTGGCAACTACCCCATTTGCTTACTTTTACAAGTATTTGTTTTCCCCTCCCCAAACCTCTGAGTTTTTTTTTTCACATTACGAACTTTGCAAGTAGAGCCATATTTTATTTTATTTTTTTTGATATCTTGCAGCAGAGTCAACCATAGCAGAAATAAACAAATTCATGATAAATACCCACTGCATTGCATGAAAGTTTTGAATTCTAACCTTTTTAAAGCAGGAGAGACTTTGGTACAAAGGCATTGTTTTATTTAATGAAATAATTTGGACACAAATAAAAATTTGACATAAATAATTGTAACTTGAATGCATACTTTGAAAAAAAGAAATTTTATTTTTGATGTATAACAAACATTGTCTTCATTTATCTTTTGCTTTCATTCTCAATATCTTTTATAAAATAGCAGCTGCTCATTAACCCCTACCCCCATAGACTTAGATATATCTATCTTCTCTTTCAACCATGTGGGTTTTCTGTTTCACTTTAAAGTAAACTACTTAGAAAAACAACAGATCAATATCTCTGGATGGCAGAAGATAGAACTTATTCAAAATCATCCTTTCTAGTGATACTTCCTTATTCTCTAAGAATAAATTCTTCCTTATTCTTCAACTTATTCCATAAGGATCAGTGGATCTTAGAAGACTTTTATGTTTTTTAAAGTTCAATACATATGAATTTCAATTTTCAGAGAAATGAGAAAGCAGAGAAGAAATGAAGATCAAAAAGTCTACACATGGGGCTGGGGTCATGGCTCAGTGGTAGAGTGTTTGCCTCACACGTGTGAGGCATTGAGTTCAATTCTCAGCACCGCCTATAAATAAATGAGTTAAATAAAGGTCCATCAACAACTAAAAAAAAATTTTAAAAAGTCTACACATTGATGGAAAGAATTTTCCATCAAAATGATATGATCAACAAGTAATAAAAGTTGATGACTCAAAGGAGAGTCCAGATACATTATTGTGCTCACAGTAAGCTCTGAGGTGTGTGGCAAGAAATGCATTAATAATAAAATGACACTACTTGAAAGGGCTTGTTTTCAATCTTATAGAT